CCCCTTGCGGGGACCTGAGGTGGGCGCAGCAGCCACGGGAAGGAGACCGGCGGAGGGCTCTCAGGCCCAAAGATGCCACCTGAGCTGGACAGTGGCGGTGGCTGAGGTCCCAGAGCCCTCCGGATGCCGCAACACGGATTGTGTGTTTGCTCCCCTCTCTGCTCTGCAGGAAAGCGGCAGATTAATACGCGCGCATTAATTATTGAATGGCTCATTGTTCTGGCAGGGCCAATTGAGGTGGCGATTTACAGGGCTGCCGGTGCCCGCCAAATTCCCCTGACCAGAGGAAAACACTTCTGGCAAGCAGAGAGGCGACAGCTCCGGACACATGTGTCAAAACAGAGCCCTTTCCAATCAGGAGCTAACTGAGGTCCAATAATACAGTTAACAGGAGCTGATGAAATACCAGGGGGGTTATTTAAAAACATGTTGAGCAGAAGCCCAGCGCTGCGGCTGGGTGCGGGCGGAGGTGCTGGGCCGCATGGCTCAGATGCTGGGAGTCGTTAAACCTTTGCTAAGTGTGTTTTAATGCTCACTTGACATTTCATTATCGCACAGTAACTATTCAAATACATGTCCCCTCTAGAATTAATTAGTCGTTATACAGGATATTAATCAAAGGGGACTGTGCCAATGTGCTTATATCCAAAATCCGATCCAGCTGTTGCTGTTACTGGGCGGCATTGGAAGAACCACACAGATTTCTGCACTCTTCTGGCTTTCAATTTGATGGATCAAATCCTTTGGCTGATGCTTTTCCCGGCCCCTCTCCACCCCCTCAATCTAATAATAATTCGGCAGCGTCAGCCCCACGCTTCTCAGCAACCCTACAATAATAGAGCCGCGAGCATCAGCCAAGGCTGGGGCATCGCTCTGCCGGAGCGCAGGGGCCTCGCGGCGCCATGAGCAACCCTGCAATAACAAGGCAGTGTGTGCAGCCCGGCGTGCCGAGCGTATCGGTGCTACCGGTGCCTTGCCAGGGTTGCACGGCGAGGGGGGTTATGGCTGATCGCCGTGCCGTGCCCTGCCCTACGTCGCCGCGGTGGAGCTGCCGGGTAGATGGATGGGGAGGTCGTCGTGCCCGATGTGCAGCCCATCCATCTGCCAGATCGATGCGGTGCCAAAGCCTTCCACCGGCCGGCTGCTTCTGCAAACCCGCCGTTCCCCCCGGCACAGAGCTTCTGGCTCCGGAGCCCCCTCCTGACCCCGGGGCCGAGCGTGGCACAGGCGCTTCCTGACCGAGCCTGGAGACCGCTGCTGTTTTCCATCAGTCCTTTTTTTTTGAACCGAGGGTCACTCCTCGCTTCGGAAGTGCTTTTCCCCACAGACAATGCCCTGTCAACCTCCGTCTTTGAAAACAAACCAAACCAACCTCGGAAACAGCGGAGTCAGCAGCAAGGGCTGTGCCGGGAGCACGGCCAGACCTCCGTCCCGGCTTGAGCGGTGCAAAACGTGCCTCCAGGCTGGTGGATGGGCAAAGTGACCCGGTTGGGGCAGTGCCCGTGGGCACCAGGTGGCAGGATCGGCCCCAAGCGGAGGAACTGCTTGCTTGCACGGAGGAGCCGGGAGCTCCTGGCCACGGAGGCAGCCTGGGCCCCAAGCGCTGCTCGTCTTGCCCAAACGGGGGGGGGGGGGCTGCGTGGGGTGCCGGGACTGCACGCTTCACCCCTCCTCCTGCCTGCAGCATATCCCCCTGCGAGGGGGTGAAATCGGTTACTGTCCCCTTACAGCCGGGTATGATGGGGAGGAAAGTCAAATCAGAGCGATCTTGGCTAAAAGCCTCCGTGGAAGCCGAGCTGCAGAGAACAAAGTCTCTGCTTGTATTTGGTTAATGACTGCGGGCCAGGCTGCGCCCGGTAATTGATTTCCTTTCTCCGGGCTATTTTCAGCTGCTTAGGTGTGTGCAAAAGCTCGGCTCCTTAATAGCTCCTCCAGCTCGGGTGGCGTGGGGACAGAGCCCCGTTAATTGGGGCTGCAGGGGTGTCCCTGTCGGGGGGACGAAGGCTTCCCATGCCCACGGAGGTGTCCTTGCCCCCAGCTCCCAGAGCGTGGGGACAAGGCGCTGTGCAGTGGGGCTGTGCTTCAGTGGGTGCTTCGTGCGTGGGTGCATGTGAGCCCCGAGGGTGGGGACGGTTTGGGTCCCACAGGGCAGCTCACGGGCTGTGCTGGGGGCTTTGCACTGGCCCTTGCCCGGCACGAGGGTTTGGAGGGGACATGGCAGTGGGGACGTGGCAGGGGGGTGCACAGGAGGTCTGTGTGGGGACCACGTGTGCCCCTCCGCTGCTGAGCAGGCAGGTGAGCATCAGCGAGTGTCCGTCTGTCCATCCATGTGCATGTGTGTGCGTGTGATTTATTAATGAGGACACCACAAGGAGAGCGGGCCCATTATTCCTGGTGTCCACATCAGTTCCTGACAGCTCCGTGGAATTGAAATATCTTATTTAAAGCCTCTGGGGATCATTTTTAAATATCAGCCTTGACACTCAAGGACTCATTCCCAAAGGGCATCCTCTCTTCTCCCGTGGGGACGGGTGACCCCCGGCATGCCACGTGGGTGGGTGGGCGTCAGCAGGTTTGATGCCAGCCCTGCCGTGCCCATCCCAGCTCAGCGGTGCCACCGGGCGAGGCGGGAGCCCCATGTCCCCGGCACCGTCTCCCACGCCGGGGAGGGTGGGCACAGGGGCCTGCCGCGCTTCCCGGCAGAGGGGACATGCTCCTCGTGTCTTATGAAAGTTTAATTTACGCTCAGTTATCAAAAGAACAAACAAAGCTCTGCCAAAACAGCCTGCGGCGTGTTTTAATGCAAGATTAGATTTTGGGCAAGGAGGGTTGAGCTTGCTTATTTATTCCCTTACTGCTTTATCTCGGAGCGCTCCCCATCGGGGAAGGTGATGCTGCGGTGCCTGCCTGTCCCCGACAGGGTCACCAGCCTGCGAGGCCAGTGGGGGGGGCCAGCCCATTTTGGGGGGTGATGGAGCAGGAGCGCCTGCATCCCTCCTGGGGGTGGGGACTGCTCGAGGAGATCTGGTGGCAGCGGGGTCCGGCTTGGGGACCGGGGCGATGCTTGGGGGCGGTGGGTGAGTCAAGACCTGGTTATTTCCTTTATCTGCTTATCAGCTGTTGGTGCTGGTGGCTGATAAGAGCAGTCGCTGGGCACTGGGGATGATAAGCCCCGGATAATCTTGAGTGGTGCTGGGCTCAGCCGCATGCCGGGCTGAGGTGGCGTGACACCGGCAGACCCCAGTGTGCCTCTGCAGCAGCCGCTGTGGGCTCCGCGGCGGCGGCCGGACCGCGGGTGG